ATAAGGAAAAGTGTTACTAACCAGACACAAACATCTTCATAAGGTTCATACTAGCTGTATCCCCGTTGCGAAACCTTGGGTAAGGCTCAACACTGGTATGATTTCAGTGTAATATCAATAATTTATAAATATTATTAATTTATACGGCTTGGGTACAGTCAGCCCGAAAACTTTTCATAAGTGTGGAGTAACGCGAAGCAAGCTCAAGTGACAGAGTGGTAGAAATATGCTCACCCGCACTGGGAAGACGTGACGCTCAGTTAGAACTTTGAATAGTCCGAAATGTATGGTTAATTAATTGGGAATTCAGTGGTGAAAACAGAAAAGTTCATCTGTGGAAAAGAAGAATTAAAAAAAAAAGTTGTAAAAAAAAACACTAAACGCGTCAGTATCAATAACAATCCGAAATCCATTCAGTATGAAATATTTGACAATGGACCTTTCATAAATATTGCACACAAGTATGCCAATTTTTGAAAGTATCCAAATGAACCTTAATGTCAAGTATATAACTCAAGAAAAGGATACTGAGTTTAGAATTGATTAGGCACACCAAAACTTGAATCGTTTATGCTTCATTAATCAAAATTTAGCATGCGTGAAATCTCTAGAAAAAAACGAACGAAACTATAGTTTAAGCTCCAATTCAGTTCGTTTTTTTCTGGGGATTTCGGCTATCCTAAAACTTTTGTTTACCAAGCAAAAATCATTCTAGGATTCGTATGATTCAGCTACTCAATTAATCAAAAAAAGTGACATTCCTAGGTTTTAGTATTTATACAATATTCATTTCTTTTTTAAGAGCTCCATGACTAAGCTTGCCTTATTCAATACTATTCTCCTTATTATGGGTACTGATGACTTCAGCATCTCGAAATTCACGGAGTACACTATAGCATAAAAACAGCATTGGCAGTATATTTTAATAATATAATTCTATTACAACAAAAAACCACCACAGTTTCTTAATCAATACCAACAATTTTTCTGAATCTAATGATATTCAAATCGTACAAAGAGGTAAACTATTTAAACATCGTTCAAAATGTTTGCTACAACAGATTCTTTTTGGTTCCTTTATTATTCACTTCAGTTGATGGAGTAAAAAGTTTTTAAACTATTCATAATTTCCCACAAACAAATTTTATCACTTGACTGCTAAATGCCTAATCCATTCGCTATGGATTTCAGTCTATTCGAATTTTGGATTGGCATTATGCCTTTCTAGAGGCATCGCGCTTCTTCTTGCCGTCTTGTGACTTTAGATTTCTGCGCGTTACCCCACGCTCGCCAAAAAATCTAGGGCTGTGTATATCTATGACAGTTGAGACTTCCAGAAGGGAGAATAAGCAGAGTAATCTCTTACACCTACACACGCGCACGTCTCACAAGATTATGTGACTTGAAGAGACTATTTCGCAAATTATAAGTCAGGAGATCTTACAAAGGCTGATATCGAAAACATTCACTAAAATAATATCAAACGTAACCAATGATTGCATCTACAAATGGTTGAGTTAGCATTGCTTGCACATAGAAAGCATTTTTCCACCAAATATGCAGAAATATTGAATAAATAAATAAATAATAAATAATAATGAATAATAAATTGAATTTTATTGCAGTGGCAGTTCCCAATGCATCGGTCACCGTTTTCTATTAAATTTGTAAGAATTGGGCGGTTCTTTCCTAGTCACTTTGGAAAAAAATAGAGAGACATAAATAACGTACTTTTTGTATAGATTTGATTGTTCTCTTTAACCATCTCTCCAATTCTTGTATAGCATCGTCATTCATGGTATAACTCATAATTTTTTCCTCTGCTGACAAATATTCTCGTAGTACTCTGGGGTATTGTTCTAGTTGGACAGTTTTCTGAAGATCCTCATCAATCCCTAAATACACGTCATTTAAAGATATATAGAGTCATTCTCAGTTCAATCTTAACTATTCACTATTTCAACTCACTTTCCAAATATTTACAAAAATCTGCTAGGTCTTCCGTAAATTTGTCTTTTCTCTTCGACTCAATCTCAGCATTTTTGATAACGTTACTCCAATGGGTATTACATTGAATATTAGGCACATTAACACGCAACATAAGTGCGATGACCGCGTGTAAATTACTCAAAAAAAATTCATCAGTTTCTGTGTAAGCATAATAAATCTCCTGAAAATAATTTTTTTGCCTCAGTTATGCATTCTTTCTGGAAGTAATTTCCTGGAGAATACCTGAAGCAATTGTTTGGTTCCAAATTCCATTCCAGAATTCAGACGATAAACAATTATACATTTTCCAGTGAATTTTTCGGTAGAACCGTCGGTAACACAACAACGAATAAATGATGAATTTTGGGCCAGCTGTAGCGTCCATCTCCCAGAATCTGGAAAAGTACAAAAAACAATTCGTCTACTATTTGATCTTATCGCAATGATTGCACAATAATACAGATGGAAAAATTCAATAGGAAACTTAGTGCATGCGTAGGACAATTTTAATTGCATTCTTTAATGGTATCAATTAACTTTAGCTGATCTCCATATAAGATCGCAACGAGTTACTCTGCATCCTGACTACACTACGACCGCAAAATAAGGTCAATTTTGTATGGTTCCTTGATTTTATGACATTGGGAAATTTTATTTAAGGAATCTCATAAATTTGAAGTCTAATATTTCTGAATAAATGAAGTTATTTAAATGGTTCGGGGTGGTTTCGAATTTATGATTTAATATTTTATTTAATTTTCAACATTATTGATATTAGGAAAGAGTTTTGTGATCAGAAGTGATCACCTCTTAAACTCCGATGCTTCACTTAGATATTGAAACTTGGACATTCACCATAATTTATTTTAAAGTGTTTCAATTACAACTCCAAATCTTGCGAAATTACTCTTTCTAATAACACCTATTTTGCACGAAATGGATAATCTGCAAACACAACCCTCACAACTCCCAATTCACTGCACGCATTGGATTTCCTATAAAAATAACCTGAATCTCGAATGTTGAGGTGTACATTCTTTTGAAGCCATTAATACAGACTGCTGTAATTATTGAGCAGTTTTTCCACTTCTCAAAAAAATGTTATAGCATGCACTCCAATATTTCAGAAAAAAGTTCTTTTGATTCGAATCATAATGTTTCACTTGAAGTGCAATTTAAATTTAATTTCTTGTCGAAGATGATTTTAATTTATTTTCTTTATTTTACAGAGAATTCCCAGTGAAACCACATTTTGAA